GATGGAATACACCTGGCACCTAGCCTCCTTGCCCTGTTCTTCTAGGTCAGTACTCAAATGGCACCTTATCCGCCCCCTTCTTCGACCTTTTGCTCAGGCCTCCTCTCCCTGTTCCTGCCCTCAATTTCTCTTATTATAGATTCACTTATGGTTTGTTTATTTCTGTCTCTGTCCACTAGAAGGTATTCTCAAAGGAATGGGTACATCCTCGGCTTTGAGCTAACAGCACTGGGCAGGGATGGTGCTCGGCAAGTGGGTAATGACAGAATACATTAAACAAGGGGAGGTGGGAGAAGTTGCTTTCACCTGGTTCCATGTGCAATTTCAGGTTTGAGAGCTGAGGAAGCTCGCCCTTTGTCTGTGTTCACAGCAAGACAGAATGCTGCAATGCTGACGAACTAGAATGATTCTTGCACTTTTCAGACATTTCCTTGCATTAATCCAGGGATTGATGTGGATGCCCTAACTCCTCCTTCCTCTCTTCCTCAGGCTGCTGCTGTGTGGGAGGAGCTGTGCCCTCCATAGGACTACTCTGGCAGCCACTGGTTTTTGTTTGCTGAGGGATTGGGAATGGCTTGTGGGAGAACAGAGGAGCCGCCATGACTAGCCATGACACAGAGGGATGTAGCCCCTGGGTGGGACCTGAAGGAAGACATGGGATGTTGCCAGCCAGTCTTGTGGGTTTTGCTATGTGGGTTTGATGCAAATCCTCCCTCTGCTTCTTATGAGATCTTCCATGGAAGATCCCTTTTACTTGGGAACATGGTTGGGTAGAATCTATCTCCAGAAAGTGTTAAAGATAAGGCAGGAATGGGGTCTGGTCAAAACTACCAGGTGGAGGCAAGCCACAGTGAGACTCTTGTTCTTGTGTAAGAGTTCAGGCAAGTGCCTTGAGAGATGCACAGGATGGTATGTGTGTGCACAAGTGTGAAAACATAAATCCTAAAATGGGCCCCTTAAACTGAGGATAGCGTTGTCTCATTGCCTGGTCACAGAGATGTGGTCCATTCTCCAGCCTCTACCTTCCCTCCCCTGTCTCATCATCACACAGACCTGGGGCTATGTTTGCTCAATTCTTAGGCCTACCCTGCCTCTTGTGTAACTGTCCTGATCAGGGCAGTGTCATCTGCAGCCTGTTTCTTTGCTGATGCACCTCTGCTGTGCAAAGGTCCATTGAGGGGCAGGACTGGGCAGAGATGGGGGTGCTGGAACCTTTCCACAGTGGCATTATGACCACTCCAAAGCCTGGGCCTCTTTTGCTATCATTAGCAACTTTTAGTCCAAAATAGTGTTTTGAACTTCCAGTGATGAATCACCAGTAATTTTAGAGGGTTGTGACCAGCATTAAAAAAAAAAAAAATACAGGAGGCCTGGGCGTGGTGGCACACGCCTTTAATCCTAGCACTCGGGAGGCAGAGGCAGGCAGATCTCTGTGAGTTCAAGGCCAGCCTGGTCTACATAGTGAGTTCCAGTTAAGAGCACTGACTGCTCTTGCAGATCTGGGTTCGGTTTCCAGCACTTACATGGCAGCTAACAACCATTTGTAACTCCAGTTCCAGGGGACTCAACACCCTCTTCTGACCTCTGTGGGCATTGCATGACATGGGTGCTCTTATATACATGCAGGGAATACACTCATACACATAAAATAAAAATAATAAATAAAATATAAAAAAATACAGGACAGGTGATACAGCTCAGTAGGTAAAGGTGCTTGCCACCAAACCTGATGACCTGAGTTTGATCATCCTGAGGACCTACATGATGGAAAGAACTGACTTCCAAAGGTGTTTTCTGATCTCCACATGTGTGCCATGGCACATGTGCCCCCACCAAATAAACAAACCCAATAAAAATGTAATAAAAACAAATTGAAAACTACAATTTGAACATGATGGAGTATCCTGTAAGTTCCAGCACTTGGGAGTCAGAGGCAGGAGAATCAGGAGTTCAAGGTCCTCCTCCGCTACATAGTGAGTTGAAGGCCAGCCTAGGTTATTATGAGACCATGTTTGAGAAAAAAAATAGAGCCAGCAGAGTGCTACTTGCCTATAACCTAGCACTTGGATGTCTGAGGTAGGAGAATTTCAGATTTGAGGCTAGCTTGGGCTACATAGTGGGACCCTGTATCAGAATTAACGAATGGGGCCAGCTAGGTAGCTCAGCAGATAAAGATGCTTGCCATCAAGCCCAGTAATCTGAATCTGGTCCACGAGCCCCATATGGTGCAAGGAGAGAACCAACTCCTACAGGTTGTTCTCTGACCTTCATACTTGTGTGTCACGGTGCACACCACACACACTGAATAAATAAATGTAATTAAAAAATAAAATCACACCCCAAATTTAGAAATAGAACAGAAGATATCAGCGCTGGCTTCCTGTTTGATGTTGCTGTATCTGTGCAGCACGCATTCAACAGGTTTGGGCACCACTTGTTGGAAACCTTACTGCAGCTGTGATTTTGCCTCCTGTCCCTTTTCAGGCAATATTTAATGTTTCAGTGAGCTACTTGTCAGCTCATTTCAGGTCACGTTAGAGCTGTCACATGAGGCCCTGGGAAGGGCCTGATGACACCTGTAGGTGGCCCAAAGCCCCTAACACCATACAACGAACACTCTTCCTCTTAGATGGAAGCGGCTTTCTGGGCGGTGAGTCACTCAAATATCTGCATGCACTTCTCCCTATAATGCAGCAAACCGAACATGTCTGGCCACATAAATTCCTGAGAGAAATGTCTTTGTCCAGAAACAGTGTCAGCGTGTTGTGTTGTTCGCCGTTGCCATAGGGAACAGCCAGGTCTGTCTTTGAAATGTCCCGAGGAGTGCGCTGTGATTGGCTCTCCGTGCTGCCCATCACTGCTGCCCAGCTGCTGGCACTGCAGCTGCCAGAACACCCCGCCCTCAAAGCCTGGGCTGTGCTCGGGGCGAGCTTCTGGGTCTCTGGGAGAAGGAAGGGGGGGAGGGGGGCGGGGAGCAAGAGCTAGTCTCACCGGCAGAGGGCGCCAGGCGGGTTGCACAAAACCCACTCATTCTAAATGAGACTTACTAGAGCTTTGGCAGGGAATAAAAGGAGCCACGCAGCCATAGGAAACCCCACTGGCAGGCCTTTGAATCACCTGCCTGTGGCTTATTAGAGAAGAACCCAAACCGTGCGGCCTCGGTGTGGGCAGTTCTCTAGTGTAGACAGTGGAGGGCTCAGCAACAAGGCTGGGTCCTGTCCCAGGTCAAGCGCATTAACGACTTTAAGGTGCTAGCTAGGGATGGAGGGGCGGCCCACCGCAGCACCAGGCTTCATTCAGCACAGAGCTCCAAAGCCTGCTTGGGCCGGATGGAGGAGGCCGGCCTGTCTCCCTGCCCCTGTGGCCCTGGCACTCCCATCTATCCATCTAGCTCTCCGCCTCTGAACTAACAGGACTGCGTCCTCCTGGCCCAGATGGGGGGACGCTGACCTGGCTGAGACTGGCTGGCAGGGTCCGCTGCCTGGGCACCTGGTGTTGGGCTAATGCAGCCAGAGATATGGAAGGCTGTGGAACATTCCACAGGGGAAGCTGGACAGATGTTGGACTTCCTGTCTCTCTTCACTAGAGAGCAAATGAAGGCCTGACAAGCTAGTAATGACGGTCACGCTTCGGCCTAGGGATCCCATGAGCCCTCCTGAAGGGAGGCCTCAAAAGTCCACTCAGTTGTCAACTGACTTGGCAACTCCATCATGGCCTCGCTCCTCGGTGCCCTGAGCCTACCAAGGATAGGCCCTCGTTTGCTCCCATCTTGCTGAGCTGCTAGGACTAGGGACTGTCCTGGGGAAGCTGGTTCGATGACGGTACTGGGGACCATCCTAGGGTGTCTGGTTGGATGATGGGACTGGGGACCGTCCTGGGGAGGCGGGTTGGATGACAGAACTGGGGTCCATCCTGGGCAGCCTGGATGGATGATGGGAATGGGGACCATCCTGGGGAGCCTAATTGAATCCTTGGTGACAGGCCAAGGTCCCTGGAGAAATGGGCGTCCCTGGCATGGAAGAGAGGCGTGCACCAGGCAACAGCATCTACCAGAGGCCCAGGCCAGCCGAGATCTCTGGGTGCTGGTGGCAAACTGGCCACCCTGTCCACGCGGGGCCCAGACCCAGCTTCCTGGGTGCGTGGGAGGATCCAAGGAGGAACTCTACTAAACCTTTGAGAGCCAGGGTCGGATAGATCGCTCCCCCAGCTTCGTGTCCTGCAGGCGCGTGTGCAAGAGCCTGTGCATGAGAGGGGCGTGCTTGTGTCGAGGGGCAAACGCGTGCAGAGTCGGGGGAGCACGTCTGCGTGGAGGGCCGTGGGTTCTGAGCGTGCACGGGCCGTGCCACAGAGCACGTGCCCGCGGGCAAGCCGGGGTCTTCAGGCGCGAGGTCCTGCGCTCGTGGGCGCCTGCTGCCAGGAGCTGGGGGCCCGGGAACCTTCACCTCGCGCCTGGCTTCCTGACCCGGAAAGACCCGGACGCGGGCGGGGCGTGCGTGCGCGCGTGGAGACGGGGCCGTGGGTTCTGAGCGTGCACGGGCCGTGCCACAGAGCACGTGCCCGCGGGCAAGCCGGGGTCTTCAGGCGCGAGGTCCTGCGCTCGTGGGCGCCTGCTGCCAGGAGCTGGGGGCCCGGGAACCTTCACCTCGCGCCTGGCTTCCTGACCCGGAAAGACCCGGACGCGGGCGGGGCGTGCGTGCGCGCGTGGAGACGTGCGCGCGCGGAGGGGGGCGGGGCCCCGAGGGCCGCGGGCGCGCGGGCGTTGCTAAGGCCGGCGGCG